GTACATCCAGAAAACAGGCAGCAAGCTCATGTCGCGGTGTTTGAATGCACGCGGTTTCTTAGACTTGTATATGAAGCCTGGGCGAATGAGGTGACCCACAGCATTGCCACAAAATAGCACGGTGCACCTGTCCTTGGCTGCCTTGAATCCTGGTGCACGGCGTTCTTCTTGGGCGATGAAAGTGCGCTGTGACGTCTTTTTCCAGAACAAACCTGTTGGAAAAGAAAATACTCGTAGTACACCCTGTACTATTATACATATATGGTATCAAAATTGGTATAAAAATATTACACCACACTGTATGGTAAATCACTATGGAATAAAAATATAAAAGCTACTGTATAAAACTCGGACGCATTTATCCCGTTTTCTCTTACAACACAATACAGTACGTACAGTACAACAGGTATTTGAGCATTTTTAAGGTTAAATGTACAGTAGTAATTTATTGTCTTACCTGTTTCGTCCATATTCCAAACTTGTTCTGGCTTGTAACCCTGCTCCTCGAGTATTGCTTTAAACTCTGCTGGGAAAGCTTTTGCAGCCATGGTGTCTGCTGACACAGCCTCCCCAGTCATATTCACATTCTTCAGGCCAAATCGACGCTTGAAATTGTCAAACCACCCATTTGCTGGCTTGGAAAGGTGTCAGTGGTGTCTCAGGTGTGGGGGTAGCAGCGCTGGTACTGGGTACGGGTTCCTTAGCTGCAGGCGTGAAGCGTGAGTGTAGAGACTTAGCTTTCTCCCGGATAAGGATAGAGTCCACTACTACACCTTTCCGATGCTGGTCCTCTATCCACAAAAACAAGGCATTCTCCATCTTCACCATTGCCTTCTCCCTCACTTGGCTGGCATGCTTAGCACTGTGTGGAGCACTGGCACTTACAGCATCACAGATATCTTTTTCCTTTTTCTTGATGGTACGTACGGTGCTTTCGTTCACGTTGTACAGCCGCCCCACAGCAGCGAAAGACATTCCCTCCCTTAACCGATTCAGCAACTTCACCTTCTCCTGCAGTCATCACTTTCTTCTGCCGCTTAGGGGTGACTCCAGCTGGTGTCTTTGATGCTCTTTTAGGGGCCATGGTAAATAAATGTGGGTAGCAAGGGTAGCAACTACAATTCTGATGTCAACACAAGCGTGATTACAGCGAGACTGAGTGAGAGAGCGGGGTGGCGTTTGTGTGAGGTTGTGGGAGCGGGTGGTGTCCTGTGTTCGGTGCCGCTCGCGATTTGAATGTACTTCAATTACTTCAATGTACAGAATATTCCTCCGGCGGGGCAATCTGCGTATTTGTAAATCCGTGTATTGTAAACCCGTGTATGTTAAGGGCCGACTGTAATCTATTTTTTGACCTCGGATGCCAAAATATTTGAACTTGTGTTATCTACACCACTGTAGTTATCCTGTTAGGGCACTAAGGCTGGCTGACCACACTAAATCTTAGGAGACATTCAAGGAAATAAGATAATTGCCTGGATGTCACAATGATTGTGATGTTAAAGTAAAATAATAACTCGCTCTTATTCAGAATCTGGACAGAGTAGATTAAGTTTTAAAAAGTTTTGTATAAAGGGAAAGTTTACAGCAAATATTTTGAAATGTTACTGTTGGGATTCTCTAGCTCTTGAAGATATAAAGTAGATCAGTAACCTAAATTTAGCTTATAAATACTTTGGAAGATAGTGGTGATGAACTGCAGTGAGCACATGTGGTGCAGTTACCAGCCTTGTTTCTTGCAAAGTTATGTGACAGGCATTGCTCTAGCTTCTCAAGCAGTAAGGTAGACAGACATGTGCATCTACTCTTTTTGGCCTTTCCACCAAAGTTTCCCCCCCAAAATTATCAAACATCAGTGCTGTAATCATTTGAAATGAGGTTAAAAACAATGTTTCAAATACCAGTACTGTACAGTATACAGTATGTAAATTTCCTGCTTGGCATTACTTTATCCACTTTGCCACTGACTGGTCTGTTATTCACTGTTGGCAAGAACTGGGCATGCACAGACTTCAGTTGTCAGTTTACTGTACACAGAGTTGCACATCAATGAGTAGCTGTACAGTATTCAGTCCTTAGGAGATATGCAATTTCACTGGCTCTTGTTTCAAAGATTTAGGAAGATAGATAAATAAGTGTTTTTTCTTTTTTTTCTTTTGTCTTCCAGGGCTTGCTGGATTGGCAGGATTAGTAGGCTATGGCATCTATGGGTTCAGAAACAGACAACTCAAGACATCTCTCTACCTTATTCACCTACGTGTGGCTGCTCAGGGTTTTGTTGTGGTTTGTCTCACTGCAGGTGTAGGATATAACTTGTTCAGTCAACATATCTACCCAAGATTATACCCAAAGAGTATAGAAGAGAAAAAAGAATAGGAAACACTAGACTGTAGAAATGAAGTAGATCATATATAATTTCTTTTTGGGGTGGGTATAATTGTGTACAAAAAGAAACCTCGTTGTACTGTAGAAAATGTTCTGAACCTGTTGTTGATACTGTACTCCATTTGGATTTGTTGATCTTTAATTGATCGTACTTCGATTATTTGCCTTCAAACGTTCATTTATTTTTATATTGCATTGTAATTCATATTTAATTTTTTAAAAATCATTGTTACGTCAAATTACTGCAGTGATACTATTTTTCTTTGTACAACAGAAATTTAAATTGCAAAAAAGTTTTGCGCTATACAATACTTAGAGTCTGCAATCACACACATTTTTCTATCATTTTGACATAAGCTAAATTTTACAAATATTGATTCATTGGTAACATATGCTAATCATTTATTTATCATAACCAAGTTAAAAATTATGATTACCCACTTACTGTTGACCTGTAAACATTCTGCAGTGTTTGTTTTCATGCATAGCTTTGTGGATATTCACCGACTGAAGGAAGATTCATGGTCGGAGATAATGTTCAGTAAAAATTTTATCTATATTAGCTTGGTTATGTCTAAATAGTAATTGTATTTCTTTTGTCATTGTTCAGCATTCTCTTAAAGAGAAATTTAATATATTAATTACAGGAGTATGTTTAGATTATGGTAGTGTATACACAAGCTTATCCATATCAGACAACTGGAATGTTATAGGGATTCAACATTTCTTGGTTATATAATTTTAGTCTTGGATTTTGTGTATATGTATACAGTACATGCAATACAGTATACCCTAGGCACAATGCAATTATTTTTATTTTCCTAATGTATCCTAACTTGGATGGAATACATGTATTGTAGTGTTTAATGATGGTTGATCTTTGGGTTGAAGACTGAACATTCTTTGGGTAAAATGTGAACTGGAATTGGTTATTACAGAAATGTGGTATGTACTGTATGTGAAAATGCAAATGAGAACAAATTCCAAAAAACTTATTAAACAAATAATGTTTTATATACACTGGAAAAAAAAATTATATATAGGGCTAACTATTATATTTCATCCCAGAAAACAATTATATTTAATAATTTCACTAGTTGTCTGTGAAAGTTTATTTCATAAGATCATTGCATTAATTTGTAAATATAAAATAGATTATCTATTTTTCATTCTTTCCTTTTTGTTTTGATGAGAGGAAGAAGAATAAGAATAAGAAAGATTAGTGTTTTGATGAGAGAAAGAAGAAGGTTTAAGGGGTAACTATTATATTTCATCACAGAAAACTATGAAAGGGTAACTATTATATTCCATCGCAGAAAACTAAGAAGGGGTAACTATTATATTTCATGACAGAACTCTAAGAAGGGGTAATTATTATATTTCGTGACAGAACTCTAAGAAGGGGTAACTATTATATTTAATCCCATAAAACACTTATATTTAATGATTTCACTAGTTTTTGTGAAAGTATCGTTTATAAGATCATTGCATTAATTAGTATATATAAAATAGAGTCTGCTATTAAAAGTCTTTTTGATTATTCATGTATTTAATGAAGTAATTACATAAATTCGTGTAACTCGCCAAAAAGGTGGCATCCTAAAGTAATATAAGTAAACTAGGCTTCAGGGGGCAGGGAGTAGAACAAAGACAAAACACCAATAAAAAAGATGAAGCGATCTGGTTGAGCCCAGATTCTTTCTACTCCTACTGTATTTCAGTTTCACCACTTTTCCTTCAACTCCTAATAATCTTCTTTCACCTCTTAACTAAAGACTTCGTATCGTATCGGGCAGGGTTGGGGACGGGCGAAAATTAACCACCCCTTCAAATTTTGTTTCTTCCCTCTAGCTTTCGATTTTAAAATGACCACTTCGAATTTTGTTTCTTCCCTCTAGCTTTCGATCTTTCCCTTGTGTTTTGATGAGAAGAAGAAAAATAAGAAGGATTAGTGTTTTGATGAGAGGAAGAAGAAGAAGAAGGTTTACGGGGTAACTATTATATTTCATCACAGAAAACTAAGAAGGGGTAACTATTATATTTCGTGACAGAACTCTAAGAAGGGGTAACTATTATATTTCCTCCCAGAAAACAATTATATTTATAATTTCACTAGTTTTCTGTGAAAGTTTATTTGATAAGGTCATTGCATTAATTTGTAAATATAAAATAGATTATGGCATTAAAATGTTATTTGATTTTGACTATAAATAATTATTTAATTACATAAATTCATGTAACTTGCCAAAATGATGGCATCCCAAAGTAATATAAGAAAACTAGGGGTGAAGACAGGGGCCTAGGTTTGTTTACATTTGACAGAAGGAAACTTGCAGTTGTACACATACTATGGAATCAAATTAAAACAATACTATTAAAAACAAATATTTCTACATAATGGTTTGTGCAATGTTTTTGTGACGAGTCCCTGTAAATGCACTAGTGAAGGGGAATGTACATGTACTGTATTCTTTGTTTCTGGACATATTAAAATCCTAATGACACTTGGAAACTTTTAATGGCATTTTTCAATGCTAATTACTCACCAACTATGGTTTTCCAAGGTGACTTTTGTGTGTTATTCTAGAAGTACTTAATGATATTAAATAAATAACTAAATTTTATCTCTTTATTTGCCTCTTCTTTTCTTACAGCTTATCTTGCATTTTCTGGCTACTGTGTATGATGATGCTATACAAAACAAGTGCTAACCTGCTGATACAATAAGTAACACGAAACAAATGAGATGTGACTGGCCATTTTGGTTCTCATGTAACACTCAGGTAATACTCATTTTACTTGTTGACAAAAGAGAAATTGACTGATATTTGAGATGAACTTGGAGAGATTCCTGTAGACCAGTCGCACTATTAATGCTATTGCAAACTTTTGGGTGATTTATTACAAAGCACAAGCTGGTGGTGATTATTTTACCAACTAAATGAAAGACAACAAAATTAAGATTTAAAGGTTGTGTGGAAGTGTGCACTGTCCAACACGATTTTGTCTATAACAATGTGCCCTTATAACCTATATCAATATCCTGCATACATTTATCTGAAAAATAACAATGTATATAACATATAATTATAATTATATTATCAAGCCTAGCTCTATGAGAAGACATCTGATGAAACTAGTTTTATATCATAAAAAGGCAAACTATTGATGCATCAGAACACTTCACCCGTTATTTGAAAAGGGTATAGGAGAAATAATTGCTGTCCTGTGTCTAAACTCTATATTTTTTTTTGAATGCCAGGCATGGATGGACAGTAAAAATTTTTACATAAAAGAATGTTTTACACTTACACTCCATAAACAGTAGAGCAACTGATAATTCTGGTAAAATATTACATGTTATATCTGTTAACTGGTACAGTAGTATGCTCAAACTTAAAACTCCCAGAATGTAGATCGAGTCTAAAAGTTCAACCTTGGGTACTATGGTGGCTGTGGAAAAGATTGGATACAGAGGTGAAGATACATAACTTACATTGTCAAGAATTGTGCATCTTACATAATGAATTCAATGGGTAAAATACTATATTAAGCAGGCACTGAGTAATTAGTACAGTAATTGGTGATATTTTGTATTCAAAAGTTCCATTGGGTTTAAGTGTCTAAAGTTGGCAATACAGTATGTATTCATGTAAAAAATGAAGGCAGACTTGGCAGGTTTATTAGGATGTAGTTGCAAACAACATTCCAAGATGTTCGACCATGTTAAACCTATATATTCAAGGCTGGAAAGCCTAAGAGACTGACGACACATTTGTTTATCTGGTTACAGTATGGTGTGAGGGCCTTAATATTTTAAGGTTTCTCACAAACTAATTATGTTTTTTGATAATACTGTATTCTATCTTAATATTTGTATTTTAATTACTGAGCAGCTCCTCAAAAAATTTGCAGTGAAACATATTTCAATAATACAACAATTACAGTAAAGGATATTCATTTCTATGATCTTTTTCCAACTAAGAAATGGAAGAATCTGGCATCCAAGATTAATATTATTTTTTTTTACTTCATATTGATTAAGGTTTAATCATTACCAATGTTAAAATTTTTCTTCACATACATTGAAAGTATTACCTGCACAATTAATTTTGTTTTATTTTGAAGAAATCTTCAACAAAGCCATGTAGCTGTTACCATTCTCAACCCATGAATACAAAATTGATATTAAAAGTGATTTTTCTTTTGTCTGTAGCCACTTGGGGGTGTACAACAGCAGCGAAGCATAAGCACTCAGAATTTGTACACACACAAAAAAACTATTTACCCATGCTGGGTCCAAAGTGTTTATAAATAGACACAATGTACAGCAGTTTCGGTTCATTTGTCAAGGGTTCACAAATAATGATTAGAATTGTTCGTCCAGTGAGTCATATTGCATGAATGAGAAAAGGGGCAGAAAGTTTTTTTTTTTTTTGTGTGTACATAATGCACTGGATACATTACCTGACAGCTTTCTTCACAAGTGTATACTATATACTTTATGTGGAAAATTTTTGTCTTATTAATAATACTTTACTTACAAGGCATTTCTGAAATCCAAGCTTAGATGTTGCACTACCAATGCCTCAGTACCATACTATCAAGTTTGATTTCTTAGTCTTATGAAATTATAACTTTGATTGCCAATACTGTATTGTGTTTATGAGAGGAAGAGATTCTCAATAAAGTCTAACAATTAATAATTTGTAGTTCTCTCCAGAAACTAAAACTGATACAATTTGTTGAATACCTTATATACAGTGATGTGTATATGGTACTGCACAAGTTACTTAATATTTTTCATTTCTAGTTTAGGAGAATCATTCATGCTACTTTTTTCTGATTTCCATATTAGTTTAATAAATGTTACTACAGTAAATTTTATAACTCAAGTTTTCATAGCATGGATGGTAAAACATTTGCCAGCTTAAGAATATTCACTTGGCTATCTACTGATATACATACTGCTTCAGTAGCAGCCAGAAAAAATACTTCAAGATTCACAATCAAAACAACAATCGACTGTTTTGCATAAATAAACAACCTATTCAGCTGATGTAAAGTATATCTTGGCTATGATGTCTTACTCCTCCAGGTTGCCCCCCATCACTCCCCCCCCCAACCCAATGACAGGCCATGACAAAAGAGCCTCCATGCTAACCTATCACAACAAATCCATTTTTGTCCTCTCTTTTCCCCATGTAATCTCCTTTGTTCTTTTGTCAACCCTTTCAAATTATCGACTGCTGGACAACTCTCACCCGCTAGCTAGCCAATGACTCAAATCTCATCTGCTTGCTGGCAGGTTTGAAATATTTGGTTTAATAAAAAAATGAGTTATTTATGAACATTGTTGGATGTGTGCTACAAACTAACCCTATGCCTCAGTTGCAAAGTTCAAGTAAACAGACCATAGGAACTGTTGGGAAATGAGCGATGCAACTTGTGCTGTAGGCCAGTAAGAGGGTTTATGTCCTGCTCCCCAATTTCCTCCCATGGTGTAGGTAGCCTCCCACTACCCAAAATATCTGCTACACACTATTTACCCTACTTTCCTTCATCCTTCTCTCATGATCATACCATCTTGTAGAATCTCTCTTTCCCTATTCTACCACTTTTTAAAATTACAATCTCTGACTCTTCAAACCCTTGTATTTATTTCCCCTTTCCATTTTTTAGGTATTTATATATACCGTACTAAAAAAAATATTTGTCTTTAAGATCAAAGGAAATTAAGGTAATCTTTGTTGTTAGCTTAAAAGATAATTTACCAAGTTGAAGACAAGTTAAATTTAGATGACCAGTCTTAGTAAATGAGTGTCCAGCTGCATGTTCTAAACATAAGTCATAAGGCAATTTTATACAGGTGTTTACATCCCAGACATGATCTAGCAATAAAATCATGACATATATCCCCTCCCATCATCTATTACGTAATCTATAAGTGCTCTCATGAGTAGTAAAAAATTCAATAGTCGACATTAAATTCTTCAAACTTGCTTAAGCTCCCCATTTATATCTGAAAGGAGGCAGTATGAAGGGCAATATTACTTGTTTTTTCTGTTTACTGAATATACTGTACCTGTAGCTTGTAAGAATACATAATTGGTAAAGTCGTTATGCCTTTAGTTAACACCATGAATATAGCCATTACTTTTACTCATTATCTTTTAGAATTATTTTGAAAGATTTTACTCAATTCGTCAGATATATAGTGAAGTAAAAAACAATTGTGTGAATAATTCCCTTGATTGACTAGAATGATGTACCGTATATCTATAATGAGATGCTTTATCTACATATATTATCCAATAACCTATAGCCCACATTCAAAGCTGCAGTGATGAATGCAAAGCCTAAACCAAATACTCCAATTACTAACCTTTTTCACAAGGTCAAGTACTCAAGACACCTTAACAGTAATGCTCAATTGTTATTAAAAGAAAATAATATGTGCTGGTTTTGTAAACATACTAATGGAACAGTTAAGTTTTGCTTTCATTTATACTAATTGTGACCTACACAAGAGTGGCTGACCCCAGCAAGTGAAGTGATCCATATAGGCAATGGAAGATTAAGGAAAGATAGATCGATAAAAGCCCCTCGAATATGAACAACAAGAAACAATTTGTTCTTGCATAAACCCTGTCTGGCATGTGGTCTGGTCGTTCTATAAAGTCAAGAGGATAAATGTAGTATCTCCATATTACATTACTATCTTGGTGAAGTTCATAAAAGAATGAATGAGACTTTATTAAACTGGTTGCTTAGAATACTATTATCATTCAAGCATTAATACAGAATGAGATCTATTATTTCCCTCATTTAATTGACATTTTATAGCCTTTGCCAAAGGCAACATAAATTCACATCATTTGGATCTTAATATTTCCTTAATCAACCTGAAGCAAAATCAATTTTCATTTAAAAAAAACAAGAGGTTTGTGGTCTTGAAACTTTACTCCTAATGATAAAATATTGTGAAGGCTGAGAAAGATTTTGAGGCCACAAATAATATGCCACTGAACCACCATTGGGGAGGGGGAGGACAAAAGGTGTTAAGTCATAACAGTAACCCTACTCTTTCCATGCGAAGTGATTTATATGGGGGACTGAGGCCAGCCAACTCACTACCTATCTATTGATATTCTTGACGAGTTGTTTATTAAACTTTGTGCAGACAACAGTTATCATCCTCAAAAGCTAATGACCAGATGTGCTTTCCCATACCAAGTTTAATAATTAGTATTGTATTTTAAATAATATTACCGTAAGTACCAATCACAAGTTGAATTTGAATCTATATTAGTATGAATGTTGTAAGTTCCGCAAATTAGCTTTCAAGAATGTACATGTAAATGATACTGGTTCATCAAATTTATAAGAATCTTGTACTGTACTGTAAATTAACTGAGTCATCCTGGTGCATGGCTACTTAAATGCACACAGGATTATCATACTATGTTGGGTCACCAGTAAAAAGCAGTGAAAGTTATTACATCTCCTTAAAAGTTAAATTTATATGCCTAAACAACCTTGGTGTTGTCTATCTGCAAAAATTCTTCTAAGCGGGGAAAGGGTTACTTGTTATGGGAACAAAAATCAAAGTGAAAAGCTGTGTCTACCACACACAACACCCTACCTGGCCTTGGGCTCAAACTTATAAAAGACTGTTCGGTATGTGCAGTGTTACCTCAATTAAAAATATCAAAACATTCTTGGGCCTTTAAAAAACAAAAAAAATTCTTTGAGTCCTTTCTGCCAGCAGAAAATATCTAAAGGTTTGAATATTATGTTTCACACTGAGTATGTTCATAAATAATGTAAATGCCACAGAGAATATTAAATGCTTCAAGGAATACACTGAGTTCAGATCAAACACAACTTAGCAACTTACATGATGTTTTAAAGTGATATGACTTCAGTACAGGACAAGTCAGGCATTAATTAATTATGAGCAAAATCCTTCCCAGTGAGTCGTATTATTAAATTTACTACAATATATTAGGAAATCTTAAGCTGGATTCAGGCTTTGAAGTCATTTAAGTAAATGCTTTAATACCAAATTAAAACTTTTCAGTAAACCATTTTATCAGAAAAAAGTGGTCAATTAAGAAAAACTGAGATGACAGAGTTAAGAAATTTTTGTAACAGAATGAATCCTATAATGAGAAAAAATACCCAAAGCATTACTGCCTGAAGAAATCTGATATTCTAACAAATATCTATCATTATACTGACACTATAATGATAACCTATGGTACCCGAGATGACAAAATATCTGACAATCTCATTAGGTATCATAATTTAGGTACAGGTGGACCCCAATGCTGAAACTGTATTATGATCAATACACTATTTCTATGCATGTTCAAGTATTGCTTTTACCCTGTAGTTAAATCAGGTTTTAGCTGCATGCAGCAATTGATGAATAATTAGAATTTACTGAAAATAAATAATAATTTGATGTCCTGTTTCAGGATATGGGTCATTACAAGTATAAATATTACACTGGAATGCTCAAAGCTAAAAACATCATACAGCAGTTTAAATCCCTCAGGATAATTGAGTGAACAAAGTACAGTAACTGTAAAGACTTTGTTGAAATTTCAAGAGTATATTTCCATTGTCATTTGTAACACAAAATAATAAATAAATAAACAAAAGGCCTGATCATAGCAGTCATGAACAGGCTATTTTATCATTTATCTGAGAAAAAAGTTTATGAACATGCAACACGGGAGGTGAGCTTGGAGAGTTAACTTCAAAGATAAAAAGTTTACTTATACCTGTATACCAAAGGATGAAAAATAAAAAAAATAAATGGTCTAACTACATTAGGAATGTTGTCTTGTTGCACGCTCAATGATTAAAGTTCATTCCCAGTTTAATTCTCTGAAGTACCCTGTACTACAATAATATAACATTGTTATTTCTTATACATCAAAGGAGTTGCAGCATTATCAGATTTCCATGTTAATAGAGATTGAGCACCAAGTTGGTGATATGTGACTTGTGGATTTCTATGTAAAGTTGACTGGCAGAGCATACAGTTCCTTTACAGTGCATTGAATTTTTCACAGCTTAAGGCAAAAAGTAACTACAATCAACCAAAAATTTAAACAAATTTGAAAGATCCCTTATCTTTTGAACATTTTATCTATGAGTTTGTGAACTGAAGAGTTTAATGCTCACTGTTAAGAAAGTGACTAAAGTCCACACTGTTTCCCAGCGAGGCATTTTTTCAGCTTGGTTGACCTAACATCACACTCTGGTCTTTACATTCTCCTCCTCCTCCTTTTTTCATTATTGTTGGTAGTATATAATGATGCCTTGTAATACAGGGGTATTTTGTTCCTTGTCTCCTCTTAATTTGTTGTGACATCTCTTCACATTATAATATTTACCAGGATATATTTACAGTATCATCTTTGGCATAAGTGGTACGTGTCAACAACAGACCAGCCGGTGATAATGTTGCCACTGATAGCGACAGCAAATATCTAACAGGCTGACAGTAGAGAAGACAATTCTTAATTAATTTAAACTTATTAAATATCAAGTACCTGTAATCCATTAAACACTAATGACATAAATGAACTCTTGTTACTTAAAGTTCAGCAAATTCGTGCGAGTTCTACAGCCTGAAATCCACTTGCCAGTGTTGTGTATCATCATCACACACACACACACACACACATCACCAACATGGCCTTAAACTTATTTGATGACATTAACTGCATACCCTCTAGACATTCAAGTTGCAGGTTCTAATAATGATTTTTTTAACTTGGTATTAGACTCATAACAAATTCCAAAGTTTGTTAATATTCCTAGAAATTACAGCAGTTTTGCACATCCAGGAAGATTCACATTTCAAAAAAGCTGTCTCCAAAGAATAGTTGAAGCACAAGATAATATAACAAAACGAGTGCTGTTTTGTGCCTGATAATGTATACAGTTATACTACTAATATTTAATTGTGTGCCTTAAATAATAAGTAAAATATTCAGAGTGCATTTTGTTCAGCTTAAAGCATGCATCACAAAGTACATGTGACCACTGCTACCGTGAATTCTTGACTTAGTATTGAAAGCATGATAGATCCAGGAATACTCCCTAGAGTTACTTTAGTGAGGTACCTATACTGCAGCAGCAATACATCCAGAAAGCTGATTGTTTGGGCAGCCATGTTACCTTTAAACAGTACAGTACATAAACAGAATCTTGATATAATCTCATTAAGCCACCTGGATAAATTGCTATGCTATGTACATTTTTTGTTGATCTAAGGAATGATTCTTTAAGGACTAGTGACTATAGGTTTGTGGGTTCTTAATACTAAACAGCCTTGGACTAACATAGTTATGACAAGAATATGAAACCCCTTTTTTTTATATGAAAAGTAACGATACAGTAAGCCACCAACAGTACAAGTGTTTAATAAAAAACTTCACTTCTAAAAAGGTGCAAGTTTTCCTGATATTCTTAACAAAACAGTGGTATATAAGAAGTCAAATTTGGTAGACTGCCAACTAACAGTAGATGTATTTTTCAAAGCAAATGGCCACGTACCAAAGCTTTCACTGTACAGGTATTACCTAAAAATCCCAATTGACATAAATTTTTATATGCACACAACAAATTTATTTGTTATACAGTATATGTTTCAGGTATTGATTATTATTGTATAACAAAGAGGAAACTATACTGTACAAATACCAGAATCTAGTGTTAGGAATACTCACTGTTTCATTGAGGACATCACCTTGTCTAAAATTTTGGAGCTTGCTGTACTGTCATGATAACCACGTGTAACAAATCCAAGAAGGTGTTGGCATGAGGGCTTTATGGCAGATGAGTGCAGGTTGACTGACATTTTGATACAAGATCACACAATCTCTACAGAATACTTTGGGCGTCAGTCAGTTGACAAGTAGTGTTCCCCGACAACCAAACCAAATCGAGCACGGCTCCCTGGTGGAGATGGTACACAGCATAAACCACCACCACATGCATGATGTGGTGGGAGTTGGCCAGCAGGTCCAGGCGTCCTGGCACCCATTTCTCTGGTACACGTAGAGCTCCTACAAACCCACCCAACACTGCCAACATATCCTGAAGATAAATTTAATAATTTAGTAACCAGTAAGGGCAAAACAGTGCAACAGAGATATGAAAGCAACAAAGCCAATGAAATAGTTTAGTTTAATCACTATAAATAAATAGCACAGTGCAATATTTTAACCTTGATATTGTAAAGGCATTCTAAATTCATTAAACTATCTATGAATTTATCTTTTGTGTACAGTATATACATATTAATGTGTTTGTGCATTATTCCAGATCTGTGTATGGTACTTGGATGCAGTTGTGTGTAGGTGTACAATATATCAATACATGCTCATGTGTTACTACTTATTAGCACAGTATATTTCTGCATGGATGTGTACAGTTAACCAACATCAGGGACCATATTAATATTGTATTCAAAACCAAACACTAGATGCCATGTTAGTACACACCAAACTTAACATCAGGCCTCACTCTAAACTGACCTTACCTGGGGGTCACATGAGACTGTCAAGAGAACTACTATAACACTATGTTGCCTCTCACTGATTACATTCAACCCAATGGAAAATATGTTCAAAGTGCAACACAAATATACATAAAAAATCACACTAATCCAATATCCTTTCATTTCTTCATTAATCCAGTTGAGTATCTTGGAATCATATTCATCCATTATCCTAAGATGGGCTTTAATATAGTACAGTATCCTAATACAGTATATGTAACATCAATTATCTTAGTACAATGCCTCAATTCTCCTGTACAGTATTGTAATACCTCATTTGTCAATATCCAAGTGCAGTTCCTCATTAATTAGTATTCTATCACCTAAATTATCCATTATTTTAGTACATTATCTAATTCATTTGAGTGTATGATTTAATTCTAGTACTGTACATCATTTATCCAGTATTCTTACACCCATTTATTCATTATTCTACAGGGGCAAATTCAGGAATATCAAAAGGGGGGGGGGGTGTCCAGTCCAAGTTTTGGTAGGGGGAACGTGGCAAGCACAGTGAGCCCATGCAGCTGGAGGGTTTTGGGGGAGCTGTAAGCCCCTCCCCCCCCCAGATTTTTTTTTTTTGAAACCTGACCAACATCATGGGAATTTTGAGGCCATTTTGAAGCCATGTGCACTTGGTATACAAAAATGCCTGAGTATAATACTACAATAAAGAAAAAGCATTGACATTTCCTGATGAAAAGGGGGATCCGGACCTCCAAGACCTCCCCTGGATCTGCCCCTTTTCTAGCACTGTACATAATACCTCAATTACCCAATATTGTAAGTCTTATTCTCTATTTTATCATCTACCTTCCCCATGTTCACATTATCTGTATACTCCACTGTGACATACTGTCAAGGAGGTTCAAGTGGTGCCAAAATAATCATTCTGGCTTCTCACTGTGTACTGTATGTGCAGAAGATAATTGCCATGTGTGGCACTTTAGTGTCATATGTAAATAACCCTATGTAATAATGTTCAAGTAACTGAAACTCATTACCTACCTGGGTATTGGCTTGTATATCTGCAGTTTCTCCTGTATGAACTTAATAATAGTCTCAAACTATGAGTGATAAAAATTAATGGTCAGCACTACCTACTTAGAGCGCTTCTTTACTCGGTGGTGGTGGGTGTAGCTTTAATTACTCAGAACTGTACATATCTAGATTCTCAAGGTGCGGATGTAATGTTTTTCCTGCTAACTTTGAGTCACGAGAACATACCTAGTATTAGTGTGCTTTCATGAGTAAGATAAGTTCTCACATCTTCAGCTAGGAGAAAGAGTTATCATATGAATCCTTGAGAATCCACGACTAGGACTGCATCTGTGTCCTTGCATCTATACTTGGGCTGGAGTGCCTGGATAAATCAAGGATTATGCTCAACCAACTGCAGTGTTAAAACAAGAGGTACCTTGTAAATGGTGCTTTTCATAGCAGAAAAGCACACTGGTCTACCTGTGAGAATTAAAAAACAGCCAGAGATGCAATGCTAACTGCATGTAGTGCTGTAAGTGGTCAAGTGTAAATAACATGAGAATCGGTACCCTGTAGAGGAAGGGAGAGAATCTGGCTTCATATTACCTGAAGGATGATGTGCCTGAAGGCTTCTGGGTGGCCACCGCCCCAGGGGGTGACCCTCAGGGTGGCAGAGGCAGCACGCATGAGGAAGGGCAGCGTGAAGCAGAATCGCCGTTCCCAGGGGTTGCGTGCATGGGAAGCCTAGAGAGGGACACAACCCGTCCGGTAACCCACAAAGCACTGCAATGTTTAACACCTGCCACGTCTTAATGACAACCTCTGCACGTGCTTCCCAGAAAAACTTTGGAGTAGATAATGGGATATGAAAACTAAACTTTTTGTGAAGATATCCATGAAAGTTATATCTATACAGAACAGTATATATTAATGGAAGAAAAATCTTTTAAACCTTGTGAACTACAGTATAACCTTCAAGCTATACAGTATATGTAAAGGACTTCACTTCAAGGAAATTGTTGAGAACCAGGCAAATTTAATCTCCCATATGATATGCCTGTTGAAGTGATTCTGTTTTACATGCATTCAGATCCCAGTTACTTGATATTCATCCCCACATGTGCAGTGAAGAGGTGGTCTTTAAGGCTTGGCATGTGTGAGTTCTAGCGTGACAGTGGTGTGGATGGTCAGCCAGGGTGAGGTAAGGGCCACCACAACACATCAGTAACACGCCAGCACTGACTACAAAAATAGGCAGTTACTGTACCAGGAAATAATTACTGTACAGTCTACTCAGGAAGAACACTTAGAAAGGTCAACAAGATAATGACTGAGAGGATTTCCAGGGTATAGAAGCATTTGTTATAATTTCTGCACCACTAGAGTATGACCTGCCAGGGATATTTATACCTGGGTTAAGTGATTATATGGCATTTGTGTAACTGGTCATCTTAAACAAGCTGATCTACTAAGATTACCTGACAACTAAAACTGCCAAATTTACTTCAATTACTTGTTTCTAGGCACAGGATGGTAAGAATACAAATTGAAGATATTACTGGAAGTACAGTACACAATGGAACAAAAGGGTTGTACTGCAATGAAAAACACAGGCAAAAGTTAAACGAAAAAGTCCATGGAGTTTTGGGGTCAATTAATAAAACACAGGATTATCGGTAAGTATCAAATGAAAAACTATTCAAATTAAATCAAAAGTAATTTTAAAGTAATATCTTTATATATTTTCAGGGGTAAATGATCTGAGTAAACATACTTGATATAAAAATATAAATTGGAAAGTAATAGTCACAGAGTTTATCTTGAAGAGGAAATTTATACAGTATATTGTATAAAAAAAATTATGGATTACAAATAAGGAAATAATATTATAGATGGTGAAGAATTGCCCAAAAATATCAACAAATGAGAAGACAATGAAAGAGAATAAGTGAAAATGCCAACAGAATTAAGTTTGGATGTCAATAGCCGGTAATTTGTAGCTATTGTACTCTAATTTACGGGCTCCAACGGCCAAGGCTATTTGCACCATTCCACCTCTCTGTTAATTTTTACAACTGTATATTAATGTAAATTATACCATACGTATTGAAGTACGCAGCGCAATAAGAGACACCTCCATGGTCAGTTTCACAATTATTAGCTTTAAGGCATCATCAACCACAACAACACCACATGACTTACACTAGAGACAAGTATGTATAGCTGTTAAGACAAATACAGTTCCTGTTTTAGCAGTTTCGGTCAAACCTGCGAGTGCCGATATGTTGGTAAATGTCAGGGTATTACAGTTAAATCAGGTAGGGTGTTTGGGACATGGCCATTTAGGACAAAATTGCAAAGCATCAGGGTCATTAGGCCAGCACGTTTGAATCCTAGGGAGGCAAGGTTAGGGCAAAGTAGTTAAAGACCACAGTTCTCGTGAGTCCCTGTAATTGGGGTCACAGTTTGAGGTCACTAGTCATTGTCGCCATTGTTCGGGTGCCATAAGATTTGGCACTTGCTCAAAAGACTTCACGTAGTTCTTGGCACTGTCGTTAAAGTGTCCTGGGGTAGTTATTATCACCTATCGTTAAGAGTTACAGCAGTTATTGTCTAGGTCATTACAGAGCTAGTTAAGGCCAACATTGTTTATAAAGGCCACAGTTCAGTAGTTTAACACAAAATCACTTCGTCAAATCAGTAAAGAATAGGGTTGTTAAAATCCATATAGCTCAAGCCAAGGTCATTAGAATCCCAGTAGTTAGGAGGAAAGTCATTAGAGCCTTCGTACAGTTCAGAGACCAGAAGAGTCCCAGTAGTTAAGTGCCAGTAATTAGAGCCCCAGTAGTTAAGAGTGCCAGTAATTAGAGCCCCAGTAGCTAAGAGTGCCAGTAATTAGAGCCCAGAAGTTAAGAGTGCCAGTAATTAGAGCCCCAGTAGTTAAGAGTGCCAGTAATTAGAGCCCCAGTAGTTAAGAGTGCCAGTAATTAGAGCCCCAGTAGTTAAGAGTGCCAGTAATTAGAGCCCCAGTAGTTAAGAGTGCCAGTAATTAGAGCCCCAATAAATAGGTCAGGTGAAGGTCATTTTGGCTCCAGTAGTTTCGGTAATATCACGGTCATCAAAGTAGCCATAGTTAGGGATAGGGTCTTTAGAAAACTAGAAATTACAGCCAGGGTGATTAGTGTCATTAATTAGGGACGAGGGTCATTTAAAATGCCAGGAAATAGAGGAGGTAGTTAGCGTACCCGAGTAGTTTGCACTAGGGTACTGTAGTTAAATTGCCAGTTTATAGTCAGGGTCTTTTAAGAATGACAGTAGTTAAAAAGCCAATACTGTAGTTAGAATCAGGGTTGTTAATGCCAGTAGTTAGATTCAAGGTTGTTAGAAAAGAGAGTAATTTGAACCAGGGTCGTTAGACAAGCCATTAGTTAGAATCAAGGTACAGTAGTTAGAAAAGCCATTAATTAGAACCAGGATCGTTAGAAAAGCCAGTACGGTAGTTATATTTGAGATAGATAAGCCAGTAGTTAGAATCAAGGTCGTTAGACAAGCCACTAATTAGAATCAAGGTTGTTAGAAAAGCCAGTAGTTAGAATCAAGGTTGTTAGAAAAGCCAGTAGTTAGAATCAAGGTCGTTAGCGCCAGTAGTTACCTCGGGCTGTCACGGGGGAAGAGGGGGTACAGGATCACGCCGCCGTACAGTCTACCTCGGGAGTCGTTCCTCCTTAAGACTCACACTGAGGTTCGGATCAATCTCCCGCTCCCCCCAGCTACCTATCTATGTCTGTACCTTCATGGCTTTCTACCCATCTATCTATCAACCTATCTATCTATCTACCTCGCTACTCCACTCCTATTCCCAGCTCTTTCGTCGCTGGGTTCAGAATATTTAAAACACAGTTGGAAATGAAAGTTTTAATCCATTTTTAAATTATTAACGGTTGAAAAAATGAAAATATTTTTAAATTTGACCACGGAATAAAACATTGAAAAAAAACCCATTGAATAACCAACGGGCGAATTTTTTTTTTAATGAATGGACAACCGATGAATGACTTAAACAATATCCCAGTCGACATCATACCTGCACGGCACCTATCATACACATACACTGTGTACTGTATAAGGTTACATGTACATATTATACAACAGGGGTTCTCAACCAGGGTGGAATTTCCCCCCTCAGGTTTTCAGGGGGGGGGGGGAACTGATACTAATATGGAAAAAATAAAGGATTTTCAGTATTATATGCATATTATTTGGAATGCACTTTTTGAGGCAGACAATCTTGGAAAGGAGGGGGAATGACATTCTGACATATGGTGAAAGGGGTGCATGGGGCAAACAAGGTTGAGAACCACTGTTATATAAGATGTACATACGGACACAGCCACAGTTCACCTCACCAGTGGCTATGACGTATGTTTACCGACTCCATCCACCGCTCCGCCCCAGACCTCTACACCAGTCCGCTTGACGTTTCCCCTTAAATGTCAACAAGAGAAATTATGTGAGGATATTTTAGCTTCCTTTTTTTTTGGTGCTGCACCTCATCTAAACTCCCGGCGTCATATACACTCACATCTGTAATTACGGCGATTATTTAACGTTAATACTTTTGAAAATTCTATTTAAGTAACAGCCTGATTATAAGAGTTTTATTACAGCACACACCCTGTACATGATAGGTGGTGGGGATAATTAACACCGACTGATGGTTCAAGACAACACCAAGGAACATTGAGGTCCTCGTCAACACCTCCGTTGATCCAGTGGCAGAGCATCGGGTTATTCGTGGTGACAACAGTTGTGTCCACCTCATCATCAACGCATATGGGTCACGGGATAACAATGGTTAGCTAACTTGATGTCATCTCACGCCGCGCACCACAACAAAGGTGTAATCCCAAGCTTATCTCCACACCTTTATGTATAAAAACGTTCAGGGTTTCCTACGATGGGGGAGGGGTGGGGTGGCTGTCCGGGCACACAAACACAAGCCCATACAGAGCACAAAGTGTTCATAATATCAAGTTTTATACCCAACAACATCTAAGAACTTCGGTGCTCGCTTTTGACAAAACTCCTTAACATCCTTGATATCTCGACCAATACAAGGATTAAATCACCATTACCATACATCTTTGCCTGTTACAGAGGTCAATTCGCATTTCCTTTTTCGTTTCCTGTACTTGCCTTTATGGGATAATATTTTACCTCTACTTAATAAACCAGTAATCATCTACTTCTCAGTGTTTGTGTTGGTTACATTACTGTACATGGGTGATACAGTCTACCGCTACCAGGGGGCAGAGCAGGGTTGTGGCTCGTCTCTCATGATGGCTGTTGTTCTCCACCAATAGTTTACTTATCTTCAACTCAGAGGAGGAGGGCGTCCCAAATCGACGTCCTTTTCCATCCACATAACTCCCCCAGGGATGGTCATCTTCCTGTGGCGTCTGTCTCGTGTCTCACAGTAGCTCAAGTCAAAACTGCCACACAGTATTCAAAACTCCAAAATTTTTACTCTAAAATTATCACCACTCAACACTCGTCTACAAACAGCACTACATGCCAAAGTCACCACAAGCAAACTAAACATACTCAAAGCAGATCAAAGCCTTTGGCATATACGGTATTATACGCCATGACCAACAAGCCAAAATGAAGCCTCAGCCAACCCAGGAAAGCCAAAAAAGACTCGTAATTATAAAAAAAAAAAAAAAAATCAGGCAATGAATGAGTCCAAGACATAACTCTTCCTAAAGCATTTGGAGGAAGGGAGAAACACAAGCTTTAAACACACACCGACCGTTCTTATCCGCCAGTGACGCGTGATGGCGGGAGTTAGCTAACGTCTTGGACTCACTCATTCACGCGTTGGCAAGGACTTGGGGTGTTAACTCTCCAAACAACATCATCGTTACGTTTTTTCTCAAGGTCAAAACTGGTTACCGTGTTCACAAATATCAAAGCTGAGGATGATCGGAGGCGAGAAAAATATTGGCGACGATTATTTTACTCTTGGCATCGCTCGTCGGAAGAAAACAACAACACTGAAATGATAAAACATAACCCAAAACACATCGATGAAGTCAAGTTATCACCGCTTCCTTCAGCTCACAGATGAAGGATAATATTTTGAAGTCAATCACTCAAGAGGGATCCTACGGCGTATCAAGAACCAATGGAACCCTGGAAGATAATTAGGAAATTAATTGGGTCCCTGGATATCCAATACACCAATGGGCGCCTGAGGACCATGGTAGGAACTCCAGGGATACGCTGAGGTATTTCAAGAGATTCAGGCGACGTGTTTCTAGTTTTGTGCTCACACTCACTCGCTTTACTACCAAATGAACTATAAAAAAAGGACAATATATAACGCTAAAACTCATTATTAGTTCCAATGTCTTATGCGATTGTGGATCTTCCGGGATTTTAGACGCCAGTGAAAATAAAGAGAGTTCAAGACATCCATGAAATATCTAGTGTCGTGGAAACCATTTTGATATCTGTATACATTATCAATCTTAAGGCTGGGGTGTGGCAATGATGATGATGATGAGGAGGAGGCGGAGGATGATGATGATGAGAATGAGGAGGCGGAGGATGATGATGATGAGAATGAGGAGGCGGAGGAGGAGGATGATGATGAGAATGAGGAGGCGGAGGAGGAGGATGAAGAGGATGAAGATGATGAGAATGAGGAGGCGGAGGAGGAGGATGAGGATGATGAGGGGAGGAAGATAATCTGTCTCTGTACCTCTGTGGTTAGTAGAAGGGAGGGAAGGGAATGAATGTAGGGTAAAAAAAAAGAGGGGAGAAGTTAATTCTTATCGTTTCTGGACAAGACAGAGAGAGAGAGAGAGAGAGAGAGAGAGAGAGAGAGAGAGAGAGAGAGAGAGAGAGAGAGAGAGAGAGAGGAGAGAGATAAGGTGGGAAAAACCTGACTCACTCTCACCATCCCCTGTGGCTGATGGTGGTGGTGAGGGACGAAGGAAGAGTCGGTTCCTTATCACTCCCTCTGGCTAGAGGTGGGGAGGGAGTGACAGGGGAGGAAGTGGGAGTTCTCATCGCCCTTGTGGTTTGGGGTGAGAAGGAAGTGGTGATAGTGAAGGGTTGGTGAGAAGAGGGAGTGGTGATAGTGAAGGGTTGGTGAGAAGTGGGAGTGGTGATAGTGATGGGTGGGGGAGAGGGAGTAGTGATAGTGATGGGTGGAGGAGAGGATGGAGTAGTGATAGTGATGGGTGGAGGAGAGGAGGGAGTAGTGATAGTGATGGGCGGAGGAGAGGAGGGAGTAGTGATAGTGATGGGTGGAGGGGACACAGGGCTACCAACAATGATGGGTGTTCATATTATCGCGTTGTCTTAAGCCAGTACTGACCCCTGAAAACAACGGCTGATGATAGTTTTGGGTCTTGCTCTCGCTGACTACACGTCCCTGTTCCCTTGTCAGCCTTGAGTACCCAGGGCACGCGACAACGAGAGACCCACGGACCTTAAATACTTGGATGACGCGGACATCCTGGTGTAGGCGGTCTCAGAGTGACAAGACTGGCTGTATTATACTAAGCGGCCGTCGCGACTTTGAAAAGTATATTATCCGGGTAAATAAGACGCTGACTGATGACAGGGGCACGAACGCGTGTCTTGCAGTATTCTGGGTAAAACCGCACTAATCCGTATCTTAACCTCGTAATAAGACGATGGTTCAACAGGGGGGATGTGAACGCTGGTCTCGCGAGTACAGTACTTAAGGCACAGAGTAACGCCAACAAGTCTACAGACAGACTGACAGAAAGCACCACCATGCACAGTACCAAGCAGAAGCGTCATGCAGGAGCCATGCAGAGGGGGAAGGGGGGTGAGGTGTGCGGTGACTTGCCTGCATGACATAGTGAATGACAGCTTGAGGGTCTCCGCCCCCTAGAGGCGTCGACCTGAGGTAGAGGACAAATAGTTGCATGACCACCGCCAAGGAGAAGCACAGTCGCCTAGCCATGGCACAGCGCGCCGAGAGTGCCTGCAACACCACACTGTTCACTACCACCACACTGTTCACTACCACCACCCTAACACCACACTGTTCACTACCACCACCCTAACACCACACAGTTCACTACCACCACCCTAACACCACACAGTTCACTACCACCACCCTAACACCACACTGTTCACTACCACCACCCTAACACCACACAGTTCAACTACCACCACCCTAACACCACACTGTTCACTACCACCACCCTAACACCACACTGTTCACTACCACCACCCTAACACCACACTGTTCACTACCACCCTAACACCACACTGTTCACTACCACCACAACACCACACAGTTCACTACCACCACCCCTAACACCACACTGTTCACTACCACCACCCCAACACCACACACTACCACCACCCCAACACCACACTGTTCACTACCACCAACTACACTGTTCACCACCCCTAACACCACACAGTTCACTACCACCAACTAACCACCACCACAGTCACTACCACCACCCTAACACCACACTGTTCACTACCACCACCCTAACACCACACTGTTCACTACCACCACCAACACCACACTGTTCACTACCACCACCCAACACCACACTGTTCACACCACCCCCAACACCACACAGTTCACTACCACCACCCCAACACCACACTGTTCACTACCACCCCTAACACCACACAGTTCACTACCACCACCCCAACACCACACTGTTCACTACCACCACCCTAACACACACACATTCACTACCACCACCCCTAACACCACACTGTTCACCACCAACCCAACACCACACTGTTCACTACCACCACCCTAACACCACACTGTTCACTACCACCACCTAACACCACACTGTTCACTACCACCCCTAACACCACACTGTTCACTACCACCACCCTAACACCACACTACACTACCACCCCTAACACCACACTGTTCACTGCACCACCACCCCTAACACCACATTCACTACCACCTCCCTAACACCACGTTCACTACCACCCCAACACCACACTGTTAACCACCACCCTAACACCACAGTCACTACCACCACCCCTAACACCACACACTGTTCACCACCACCACCCTAACACCACACTGTTCACTACCACAACACCACACTGTTCACTACCACCACCTAACACACACACTACCACCACCTAACACCACCACACCACCCTAACACCACAGTCACCACCACCATGTTCACTACCACCCCTAAACACCACACTGTTCACTACCACCACCCTAACACCACACTGTTCACTGCCACCACCCTAACACCACACTGTTCACTACCTAACACCACACTGTTAACACCACACTGTTCACCCCCCCCAACACCACACAAGCTCTCTGTAACACCACAATCTGTCTCTTTATCCACTAACACTCTTTCTATCGCTATTCTCTGTCTCCTTATATTTATCATACTCCACCAGGTACTCCTTCAAACCTCCTCTTCCTTTCTCCTTCTGTCTCTCACCCACTCCGTCAACCCTTCCTTGTTCCTTCTGTCTCTCACCCACCTGTCAACCCCCTTCCTTGTCTCCCTTCTGTCTCTCACCCACTCCGTCAACCCTTCCTTGTCTCCTTCTGTCTCTCACCCACTCCGTCAACCCTTCCTTGTCTCCTTCTGTCTCTCACCCACTCCGTCAACCCTTCCTTGTCTCCTTCTGTCTCTCACCCACTCCGTCAACCCTTCCTTGTCTCCTTCTGTCTCTCACCCACTCCGTCAACCCTTCCTTGTCTCCTTCCCTATCATAACCCCCTCCCTCCCTCACCCTCTACCCATAACCTCACCCAGACAAGGCATAAGAACCTCATAACACGCTGATGAACAAGTAGACATTGCCAGCAGTACTATAGTTGGCACCACCCACCCACCAACCCTCCCACCCACCAACCCACCCACCCACCAACCCACCAACCATCTACATCATACACACAGCTAAAAATATGTAAACAATGTGACCCTGTTAACACCTACGATCATTTATACACAGTCATATACATGTATCTATCAGTGTGTGTTAAATTAATGCTGTTAGATAAAGGTTTTCTGTTATATCTGTGTTGAGTCTTCCTTTTGCCCATCCCTGGTGGCTCGACTCTGCCTGGGTGTTATCTTATCTCAGGTATATATCCCTACCTCACTACTTGGCTTTATGATGTGTACATACTTCTCCCATACATACATATACGCATATACAAAGACCTCATTATCACACATACACAAACCCACCCATATATCCCTCCCTCTCACTCAAACACCCCCCCCACACACACACACACACATAATACCTCCCCAACACAAACAAGATACAAAAACTAACACGTATTGCACTAAAAAAAAACAAAAAAGTCTCCCTAAACACTACAAACACCACAGCAACAACACAACAATTCTGCTACAGTATACAACACTCACAAAATACAATAGATACACAATCACATAATAAAACACACAGGTAAGAGACAGGATTAAGGTAAAGATTTGGGTTCCTTAAGAGTTTAAACCTAATATAAACACGTAACTGGAGTGTGAACCAGTTAGTGGAGTAGCCGGAGTTATGAAATATAGATATATACTCCAATATACACGTATAGGTAGACAGAAAGCTTAAAATGTACCTATATATAAAATTATAGGCAGACAGAAAGCTTATACCCACATATATAAACACAGGTAGAATGGTACTATAACACGGCATGGTATTGGACAACAGGTAGATAATTAGCCATGTTACCTGGGGAGGAGGAGGCGGTGTCTATGCTTATAATGGTCGAAGGGGAGGGGGAGGGGAGGGAGAGGGGTTGTCCTAGGCTTGGTGACACACACAGCTCACTGTACTGAGTGCTTGATTCATGCACCTGGAGAGAGGAGGGTGAGGGGAGGGAGGGGAGGAGGGAGAGAGGGGAAGGAGAGAGAGAGGGGAAGGAGAGAGAGAGAGAGAGGGGGAAGGAGAGAGAGGGGGGAAGGAGAGAGAGGGGAAGGAGAGAGAGGGGGAGGGAGAGGAGGAGGAGGAGGGATGGAGGAGGTGAGGGAGAGAGAGGAGGGAGGGAAAGTGGAGGGAGGGAGGAGGTGTGGTGGTGAGGGAGGAGGGGGGTGGGTACATGGTGTGTGAGGGAGGGAGGGGGATGTGGTACATGGTGTGGAGGAGGAGGGGAGGAAGTACGTGTGAGTGTCAAGAAAGGGAAGGGAAGGGGGGAGGGAGAGAGGAAGAATGGGAGGGAGGGAGGGAGTGGTAGTGTGAGTTTTAAGTGAGGGGAGTGTGTGGGAAGGCGAGGGGGGGGGTCAGCTAATTACCAGGAGGGGGTATTTAAAACTCTACACAAAACTTAATTTTTAGTAATAAAGGATAATACTATGTTTATCATGCTTCTTCTTTCCTTCCTTCTATCCCTCTGTTTACCATCATGCTCCTTTTTTCCTTCCTTCGTTTATCATTATGCTCCTTGCTTTCTACTTTCTACCATGCTACTTTCCTTACACCTACATACATAAAACTTTCCTTATAAAGTACTTTCTTACTTTCCTTGTTACATTCGCTCATCATCACCATCATCATCAATCACCATCACTACCATCATCACCATAACCATCATCACCATCCCACATCACCATAACCATCATCACCATCCCACTGTCAATCGGGTCACTGTCAATCGGGTCACTTTCCATCGGGTCACTGTCAATCGGGTCACTTTCCATCGGGTCACTGTCAATCGGGTCACTTTCGTCTGGATAAATAATCAAATTTACTGTTACTGTAAAAAATATACAGTATATCTAAATTCCGGGACAATAAAAGTTTATATGCACGACTTTCTGGGTAAATAATTCAAAGTACAGTATTATTGTAAGAAATTATTTAAACTTTCTGGGTAAATAGTTCCAATTTATATGACCGTAATAATTTATATATATATATATATATATATATATATATATATATATATATATATATATATATATATATATATATATATATATATATATATATATATATATATATATATTATATATATATATGTGTGTGTGTGTGGCTATATAAATTGTTTGTATTCTTATTGCCAAAATTTATATAAGTAACGCTGGCTTAAAAAACGCTTTCAAAATGCAAATTTCAGTATACATAAACTACCAAATTTCTGTATATTTTTATCTCCTGTGTATTATGTATTGAAGACAAAATATAAACACATACTTTTATATTTAATTTACGTTGAAACTTCCAAATTCTCATTTTCTCAAACTTTTTATTTATAGGATTCAGAAAAAGATTAAGAAAATAATTAAATGAATATACACACGAATTCTAGTGTAAATACTTAATCATTCACCAAATTATACATACGTTATGATTATGTATTAGTGAGTCTCTTAACGTAATCATCATTATTATCATCATCATCAATCATCATCATCATCAACCATCATCATCAACCATCGTCGTCATCATCATCAACCGTCGTCATCATCATCATCATCAACCGTCGTCATCATCATCAACCACCATCATCAACCATCGTCATCATCATCATCAACCGTCGTCATCATCATCATCAACCATCATCATCAACCATCATTATCATCATCAACCATCGTCATCATCAACCATCGTCATCATCAACCATCATCATCATCAACCATCATTATCATCATCAACCATCATTATCATCATCAACCATCATTATCATCATCAACCATCCTCACCATCGTCATCATCATCAACCATCATCAACCATCATCATTGGCCACGCTTGCGATACACTGCCTCCGTCTCCTTGACTACGTGAAAACTGGATTCATTTTACCAAGACTAGCGTGTAGCGTCGCCTAGGCTGGGCCAATGACAACACTGGACTGTTTAGATTTGAGTCACGAATGGACCAATCACAGGAGGAGTCGTGTACCTCTGTTAGAACACGACAGAAGGAAAGGGAGAGGGAGCGAGAGAGAGGGAGCGAGAGAGAGAGAGAATGTGTACAGTATGTGTGTGTGTGTGTGTGTGTGTGTAAGTATCGTCAAGTACATCTGGAATGGCAAATAGGTATGTCTGTATTGGTGACGCACGTGAATTTACATGTGTTGCGTGCAAGGCCACAGACGGCTGCACGTGCGTGGCCCCCACACAAACACGCCCACATCATCATAAATCGGTGGAGTTGACGTCAGTAAGTCTGTAGGAGGGGGGGGGAGTAGTGACAGGGCGGAGGAGGAGGGAAGCGATAGGGAGGAGGAGGAGGAAAGAGGAGGAAGGACAGGGAGGAGGAGGAGAGGAGGGAAGGGGAGGAGGAAGAGGAGGGAAGGACTGGGAGGAGGAGGAGGAAGAAGAGGAGGAAGGAAGGGAGGAGGAGGAAGGAAGACAGGGAGGAGGAGGAGGAGGAAGACAGGAGGAGGAGGAGGAGGGAGGAAGTGACAGGGAGGAGGAGGGAAGTGAGAGGGAGGAGGAGGGAAGGATAGGGGGTGGAGGAGGAGGGAAGGACAGGGAGGAGAGGAAGAGGAGGAAGAGACAAGGAGGAGGAGGAGGAGGAAGGAAGGAGGAGGAGGAAGGAAGTGACAGGGAGGAGGAGGAAGTGACAGGGAGGAGGAGGAAGGAAGTGACAGGGAGGAGGAGGGAAGCGACAGGGAGGAGGAGGAGGAAGAGGAGGAGGGAGGAAGGGACAGGGAGGTGGTGGAGGGAAGCGGCGGCAGGGCGGTGGTGTTGTTGGCGTTCTTCAAGGCGCGGTGCTATCGATTGCACTATTTCTGACCCCTCTCCAAACACTCCCTTATGCTAAATGGTCATAAATTACTCACTGCAGCATAGGTATTGGCTACTACGGTATTATTATTATTATTATTATTATTATTATTATTATTATTATTATTATTATTATTATTATAATTATTATTATTATTATTATTATTATTATTATCAAAACAAGTAAAGTAACGTAGCATTTATTAATAAATATTTTTGGCATTTTTCTAATAGTTTATTTTACAGAACAAACACAATTTACTTCCCTTGCATTAATTCTTATACCTTAGGTTGAGTTAAAGATTTCCCTCCTAGGACACACCTGGCCACGGTGAGTCATCTTAATTAAGGTAGAGTCATATGCACCAGTGTCCGCCATCTTTGTCTAGAAGGAAGGAAGGAAGGGAAGGAAGGGAGGAAGGGAGGAAGGGAAGGAGGGTGGGAAGGAAGGGAGGAAGGGAAGGATGGGAAGGAGGATGGGAAGGAAGGGAGGAAGGGAAGGAGGGTGGGAAGGAGGATGGGAAGGAAGGGAGGGAGGGAAGGAAGAGAAAAATACCGATAATATCATTCCCTTAAACTGACCCCCAGAAAAAAATACTCTCGCACCCTATTTAATTAACACTCCTGCCACACCTGTCTCACACACACACACACACACACACACCTTAGGTCATCTTTCTCTCCAAACGGGGCGACACGACGACAGAGAGAACACACAACTACTATAGTAAAAAAAACCTCCATATAACGGACTGATGGACAGGGCAGTCCGTTATATGGGAGAGAGAGAGAGAGAGAGAGAGAGAGAGAGAGAGAGAGAGAGAGAGAGAGAGAGAGAGAGAGAGAGAGAGAGAGAGAATCTTCCCAACGTCACCAGTTAAGCGAGGAAAAAAATGGTAAAATCAATGAATGGTTGAGAAAAACGACTTTGGGGAGGGATTTATTTATTTTTTCGCAGGAGGGTCGAGAAAGTGGAGGTTTATTCTTTTCGTTTTTTTTTCCAGGGGGATTAGTTTATTTCTTTTGGGGGGGAGGGTGGAGGAGGGGAGAGAGGAGAGGGGTGGGAAGGGGGATTATTATGACAGTTACGGATTTATCACTTTTATGGCATTTCTGTTGGCGTAAAAAAAATGGAAAAGAAAAATATAGAATTAATCAAAAAAAAAGAACAGGAAAAAAATACACAAGGAAAAAAATCTTGAGTAAATAGCATTTTGTCTCGAGGGGAAAAAATATCACATGAAAAATATTTATTATATATTAGAATTTTTTGGGGGATTATTATTACAGTATGATGCTAGAGAAGACAGGTAGAAGATATTAATTGTTATTTTATTTATTAGATTATATTACCTGGAATAGAGAGCCATGCGTTGTACATGGTTTTAGTTAAGGAGTTTGGTTAGTGTTTTAAAATGTGTGAATGTGTGTGAATGTGTGTGTGTGTGTGTGTGTGTGTGTGTGTGTGTGTGTGTGTGTGTGTGTACGTGTGTTCAAGGTCAATACCACAAAACAGCGCCAGCACGGGTACTCAGTATCGACAGACAGGCGTTCTCCTCTCTTCACCTCATCCTGAGAGACAAGCTATATACCAGACGAACGATCGCCAGTCTTCTGCCTGCCCTGGCGCTCTTTTATGGTACGGACCCGTAAATATAGTGTAGTCTGCCCTATATTAACCCCTTGAGTACGATGTCATCATACTCAAGGGGTTAAATCATCGTACTCAAGGGGTTAAATCATCATACTCAAGGGGTTAAATCATCGTACTCAAGGGGTTAAATCATCGTACTCAAGGGGTTAAATCATCGTACTCATGTAAGTTAAATCATCGTACCTATACAAGAAAATTCATCGTACCCAAAGGGTTAAATCATCGTACTCAAAGGTTAAATCATCGCACTAAGGTTAAATCATCGTACTAAGGTTAACCACTGTACCTGGCATAAGTTAAACCATCACCTAAGGGGTTATATCATCGTACCTGGCGTTAAAATCATCGTACCTGAAGGGGTTAACCATATCACACTCAAGGGGTTATATCCTCGCACTAAGGTTATATCATCGTAACGGCGTTAAACAGGCCAAAATCTCTGTAATATATCGGTGACATCTCACAGCATACTCCAACTATATACAAAAAAAGGTATACTGTATTCGCATATATTTAACAGCATGTGAGAGAGAGGGGAGTGAGAGGTGGGGGAGGAGGTGAGAGGTAAGGGGAGAGCAAAATGACAGGGTTAAGGGGAGAGGGAGAGGTGAGGGAGAGTGAGAGGCAAGGGGGAGAGGGGAAAGGGATAGGGTTAAGGGGAGAGTGAGAGGGGAGGGGAGAGGAGAGGAGGGGAGGAAGAGGAGAGGTGAGGGGGGAGAGGAGAGGAGGGGGAGAGTGAGAGGTGAGGGGGGAAAGGAGAGGTGAGGGGGAGAGTGAGAGGGGGGGGAGTGGAGAGGTGGGGGGCAGAGGAGAGGTGAGGCATGGGGGGGGCATTTTGCAGAGATACCCAGGGAGACGAAGCAGTAGACAGCCAGGACCCTCCACACCCAAGCACTGGTGAGACACGACACAGAGGCGTATACCGTCGTCAGCGCTCCTGTAGTAGGGAGGACAAGAGAGAATGGGTGAGTACTCTTGTTAGCTGGAAGGAGGGATGGATGAGAGAGTCGGTGAATGGGTGGATGGATGGGTGGATGGATGAGTGGATGGGTGAGTAAGTGGGGTACCTCTCTTTGTATCAACACCTGTACCTGTCCCTTGTACCAATATACCTGTCACTATATATTTAGAATTAACACCATCAACACAAGCACTCAACACTCCCACCCCACTAACTCGGGTCGATCGATGATGACCTAGAACTCGATAAGTTCACAGTCACAAGACACTGCTGGGGAGGGGGGAGGGGAGTGGGGGAGGAGGAAGGCGTGTGCCGATGGCCTGCTTGAAGATTCTCCTCTGTCTCAGCAGGAGGCCCGGGGGAAATAACCTTTTCTAGTACGTTAAAAGTCAACTCACACCGATAGGTCACGGAAAGAGAAGAAGAGAACAAGAGTGAGAGAATAAAAGAGAAATCATGACACTGACTTACCGTGAGAAACATCCATCAGGTCACTGGGTCATTTCTAGTCATCTAATTTAAGTATAAAACACAAGTGACCTATTCCCACAAGGTGACAATATCTTCTAACGACTGGTGGGAGCGAGCGAGCCTCTTGGTAAACTGTCTCCACTAACACCAAACATCTTCACTACGGGGACGCCGCCACTTCACAGATAATATCAGGACGGGAGTTATAATTTTCGTTAACAATAAAATAAATATTCGTCCCATGTGGTGGGGTTTTCATAATCCCAAGTGACGTCAACCGACTTAAGATCCGGATTTATTATAGGAGTCAGCGTAACACACAGACACACCACCTCGTTCTGACTGGCTGGCTGACGCGATAAGAACATAAAAAAAATCGATTCACCATTACTTATGCAACTAAAAATAACAAAACGAGATATCAACAAAAAAACAAAATCAAAAGCTCCTAAAAAATTCATATCAACGTAATTATTGTTTTAGTGCGAAGTGTCAACACTAGATTCAGGACCACATTACGAAATTCAGAATGAGGACAGCGTTATGTTATTCTCACAGCACAGTAGTTCCAAGTTAGTGTCAATGGCTTCTGTGTTTATTAGTTCATATATTAGGCTACCATTTGTGTCTATCATTGTCGCTGTGTTTACTTAGTGGTATAATGAGAATGTTTAGAGGTCTCTTTATGTCCTGATGGTGGTATTACTGTTTTTCTTCATCTCTCTCAGTTACTTTCTCTCACTGTCTCTTACTTCCTCTCATTCTCTCTAACTCTCTCTCACTCTTACTTTCCCTCATTCTCTCTAACTCTTCCCCATTCTCTCCAACCCTCCCTTCGTCTCTCAGTCCATCTCTCCCTCATTCTCTCTAACTCCTCATTCTCTAACTCTCCCTCATTCTTCCAACCCTCCTTCGTCTCTCTCAAATCATCTCTCCCTTATTCTTTCTCTAATCTCCACCCTCCTCAATTCTCCACTTGCTGTCTCGAAACCAACCTCCTCACCTTTTCAATCCCCTGTTTCCTCTCCTCCTCCTTCACCCTCACCTAACACTCTCTCTCTCACCTCCTCACCCTCCTCCCTCCCTCACCAGGTCAGGAGGCTTCACACACCTCGCAAGGGTTCACACATTAAGTACCTAATACCTCTCAGTTACTCGTGTCGTGTACCTCAGCCGGAAGAGATTATCTGCTCTGCCCTAGTGACACATGGTGAACGCCTGGATGAGTGATACATGACACGTGGATGAGAGTAATGACACGTGGATGACAGTAATGACACGTGGATGAGTGATACATGACACATATAGATAAATGACATGAAAGAATGAATGTTAAATTACACAAATACAAGAGTGAAAGAGTGTGTGTGTGTGTGTGTGTGTGTGTTTAAGAGACTCACCAAAGCTCTGAGTGATCCATATGCCGAACATATCTAGGTGTAGGAGCGACTTGTAACAGGACTCCCCGGCGCGGTGGTTCATGAAGAGGTGGTAGATGGTGGAGCCGACCCAGGGACTCACCGTGGACACCAGGTGCGTCCACGGCAGCAGCGGCACCGTGATGTCCGTCCACGGCAGTAGCGTCCTCCACCACACCAGGATGTAGAGCATCGGCACACCTATAGAAGGGCAAGCAGGTATTAATTAAGAACCAAGGTTAGGGTAAACTAGGTGACGGATTTGGTTAGGATTGATGCTTTTAACGGTAGTGTAGGACCTCTGATTGGGGCTGTAACGTCCTATGCCACACCTGGAGGAGGAGGGGGGAAGGGGAAGGGGGAGGAGGGGTAGAAGGGGTAGGAGGGGTAGAGGAGGAGATGTCAGGATTTCTCAGAAGTGTAGAATAAGCATATAAAAACTGGTAGAATTCTTATGGTGAACACTGATGTATAGGTGCGTAGGGGGGGATTGATGTGTCGGTGGGGGGGGGAGGGAGGCAGGAGGGTGAGGGAGGGAGGTGGAAGGAGTGCAGGAGGAAGGTGAGGGTGAGGACAGACGTGACGTTGAAACTTGGACTAAAAATATCAGATGATAACACTGTCACGTAACCTGCCCAAGGGGTAGTAGGGAGGAGGAGGAGGAGGAGAGGTGAGGAGGAGGGAGAGGTGAGAGGGGAGGAGGAGAGGTGAGGAGGAGGAGAGGAGGAGTAGGGGAGAGGGAGGAGGGGAGGAGGAGGGGTGAGGAGGAGAGGTGAGGAGGAGAGGAGAGGAGGAGGGAGAGGTGAGGAGGAGTAGGGGGAGGAGTAGGGAGAGGAGGGAGGGAGGAGAGGGAGGAGAGGGAGGGGAGGGGGGAGAGGGAAGGGAGGGAAGAGGAGAAATAGGAAAGGGAAGAGGGAGAGGGAAAGAAGATGGGTGTGAAGAGAGGGAGAGAAGAAAGATGTAGGTGGGGGGGGGGAGGTGGGTGGGGGTGAGAGGTAGGTGGGGGGTGGAGGTAGGTGGGGGGGGTGGAGAGAGGTAGGGTGGGGGGTGAGAGGGGTGGGGGGGTGAGGTAGGTGGGGGGTGGGGAGGGGTGGGGGGGAGAGGTAGGTGGGGGGGGTGGAGGAGGTGGGGGGGGTGAGGGGGTGGGGGTGGGTGAGGGGTGGTGGGTGGGGAGGCAGGTGGGGGTGGAGGTAGGTGTGAGAGGTAGGTGGGGGGTGAGGAGGTAGGGTGGAGAGCAGGTGGGGGGTGAGAGGCAGGTGGGGGAGAGGTGGGGGTGAGGGGGAGAGAGGTAGGTGAGAGAGGCAGGTGGAAGAGAGGCAGGTGGGAGGAGGTGGGGCAGGTGGGGTGAGAGGCAGGGTGTGGGGCAGGTGGGAGGTGAGATGAGTGGGGGTGAGGAGAGGCAGGTGATGAGAGGCAGGTGATGAGAGGGGGTGACAGAGGCAGGGTGGAAAGGAGGCAGGTGGGGAGAGAGGGGTAAAGAGGGGTGGAGGAGGTGAGACAGGGTGGGAGAGTGCAGGTGGGGGGTGAGAGGCAGGGTGGGGGTGAGAGGTAGGGTGGGGGTGAGAGGCAGGTTAGTGGGCAGGAAGATGGCAGAGGTGAGAGGTAGAGTTCGATAAGGGAAGAGAGGAGGGGAAAGGAGAGAGGAGAGGAGGGGAAAGGAGAGAGGAGAGGAGGGGAAAGGAGAGAGGAGGGAAAAGGAGAGAGGAGGGGAAAGGAGAGAGGAGAGGAAGGGGGAGAGGAGGGGAAGGGAGGGGGAAGAACCTATATCTGATGCTTCACCACCTGCATACACCTTGCCTTCCCCTCACCTCTCCCCTGGGTGTACGGAGGTGTTATTGATGTAGCCAGAGTGGTTCAACATTTTATCCTCACTTAAAAGTTTCAGGGACAAGTACAGGTACAGATAAAGATACAGACAATAGGTACATGTTATTATATCAAGGTGGGAGAGAGATAGAGAGGTTGAAGCATCCGGCCAGACAGACGGTCAGACTCTCTCTCTCTCTCTCTCTCTCCTGCTATTGTTAAGTGTTTAAGTGTGACTGTACCTCCACCACCACAGCTTGTATGGCTTCCCTACCACCAACAGCAAATACCACGACACACACACACACACACACACACACACAGCAAAAGGTTAGGGCAGGTCAGGTGTGTACTAATCCATACCAATGCCTGAACAACCACACAAGGCAACCAGCTGGAAGTAGACTACAAGTTACTGAAGTGAAATACAAGTACAGTACTCTACAGCCCATCACCTACAGGGACACTACTGAGGGTCTATTATCTTCACTATTACAGTGTGGCGGTGGGTCATGAGGTAACTAGAGGGGGGGGGGGGTGAGGAGGGTAGAGAAGGGGGCAGGGGAGGGGGGGGGAGGGGATGAGGAGGGGGCAAGACAAGCAATTATATCCACACATACTAGATTGGGTTTAACTGGTCCTATACCCGAGGGAAATCGGTCTCAGTCAACAAGAGACCCGCCACAACACAAGGTGGTGGTGGTGGTGGTGGAGGAGGGGGCCACGCAACACAGCAACATTGATCCCATTGCAGTTTGGGTCGAGTCTCACGTAAGCGGTGGTTGCACTCCCTTGGCGCCACACCGTAGATTAACATTGTTGGTATTTTGAGTACGCTGTTGGTATCTTGAGTACGTGTTTTGGCATCTAGAGTACGTGTTTTGGTATCTTGAGTATATTGTTGGTGTGTTGAGTACGGTGTTGGTATCTTGAGTACATTGACGACCCCTTGAGTACGACACTAACTGAGTACGATAAACCAATCCTTGAGTACGATAACTAAACGTCTAAAAATAATTAATTAACTAAAACATTAAAAAAACTATAAAAAAAGTATTTATTTAAACTAGCCCAACTAATTAACGTTTAAAAATAACAACCAAATTATCAAACACTATAATTATCTTACAGTATATCTAATTAAGGTAACAATAATCATCTCTAGGTGTAATTATGACTTCATGTTATTTTAATTAGTTTCTTCTTTTTCTTTACCTTTTAAATCAACAGGTTAGGTTAGGTTAGGTTATAGTAGGTTAGGTTACAGTAGGTTAGATTACAGTAGGTTAGATTACAGTAGGTTAGATTACAGTAGGTTAGGTCACAGTAGGTTAGGTTACAGTAGGTTAGGTTACAGTAGGTTAGATTACAGTAGGTTTGGTTACAGTAGGTTAGGTTACAGTAGGTTAGGTTACAGTAGGTTAGGTTACAGTAGGTTAGGTTACGTTAGAAATTTTTTACCATAAGAATCTTGACGAATTTAAGCCGCCTCCTCTCTCTCTCTCTCTCTCTCTCTCTCAAAGTCCAATACTAATTAACACAGGTGAGATAGAGGTAGAATTCTTCGTCTCTCTGTTTACCTTTCGACACGCAAACACCGAATTTGTTGGTGCGGATTAATGGTCCACACGAACACGCACTGTACAGCTATATAGTGTACACTCCGACGACAGCTTGTACCCGAAGCTTCTGGCTAAAACTGTAACTTTGTGGTAAATAAGGGAAGGTTAGGTGTAGGTAGGTTTAAGGGTAGGTTGGGGGTAAGGTAGGTTTAAGTGTAGGTTGGGGGTAAGGTAGGTTTAAGGGTAGGTTAAGGGTAAGGTAGGTTTAAGTGTAGGTTAGGTTAGGAGTAAGGTAGGTTTAAGGGTAGGTTAGGTTAGGGGTAAGGCAGGTTAAGGGTAGGTAAGGTTAGATTAGGGGTAAGGCAGGTTAAGGGTAGGTAAGGTTAAATTATGGGTAAGGTAGGTTAGGTTAGAGGTAAGGCAGGTTAAGGATAGATTAGGGGTAAGGTAAGCTAGGGGAAGGTTACGTTAGGGGTAAGTTAGGTCTATGGATACGTTAGGTTAGGGGGTAAAGTAGGTTAAGGAAAAGTTAGGTTGGACTGGTGGTAGACTAAGTTAAGTTAGGTCATGTTTAGAGCACAATTAGGTACAACTGGATTCCGGGAAAGTAAGATTACGCTAAACTCTAGAATCATGGCGTCTAAACAACTCCCTAATACACAGGACCTTCTCGCTGAAAATGGTGCCCATCACATAAGCATAGCCGCTGTTATTACCCTTATTATTACACATGACCATTACAAGACCACTGTAATTTTCTCGTTATGCGTAATTACTGCTCACAAACAGATCCATTACCGTTATCTGGGGGCCTGGGGATAGGATAAACTGTCATGCATTAAATGGAAAAAAATGCCTGCTTGTCATGATTACCGTACGCTACCAAACATAATACTTGTGTCGTTACTCCCAGGAAATAATTATCGTACTTAAGAGGGTAAAATTGACGTACTCGTAGGGATTATTACACAAGGATGATACAATATTTCCAAGTAAAGATCGTATACAAAAAGAGTGTTTGTGAATTATCGTACTAATACTTTTAGAATTATATACCGTCGTACAACACAATAATCGTACATCAACGAGCATCACACACACACACACACACCACCCCCTATGTGACCAATCATCGTACTTACAAAACACACTTCATTGCTTACCTTGTCATAAACACACACCACCAACACCCACAACAACACCACCACCACCCCTCCCACCCCCTAGCCACCCACACACTGCCCACCTAGTTATTATATCACCCACACCCCTAGTTATTATATCACCCACACTGCCCACCAGAGCCCCTCCGCCATGCCACCACCACCACCACCAATTTATCTCGTCGTGTCGTCAGGAAGGAAGGGGAGTCAAAGAGGAGAGAAGGGAGGAGGGGGGGATGGGGAAGAGGTGAGGGAAGGGGGAGGGGGAGAAGGCAGTAATAGTAGTTTAAAGCCTTTCATTGAGTCCAGACCGACATGATTGAAAAATTGCTCAGTCAAGTACGTGTAACATGAACCTGTTGGCCTCGATTCTCAGAGAAACTTAAGAATGTTTTGTTTTTTTGTTTTTTTGTTTTTTTTTTGGGGGGGAGGGGAGCTTTTGTTGTTATGTATTTGGATGTATTTTACTGACTCTCTGTTTAGGTTAGCTTAGGTTAGGTTAGGTCTGGTTAGGTTAGGTCTGGTTAGGTTAGGTCTGGTTAGGTTAGGTTAGGTTAGGACTACACCTCCACCAACTCTTCCCTTTCCTTCTCCTCCACCATCTCCTCTTCCTCCTTCACCACCACCTCCACCTTCTCTCCGTCACAGCTCCAGTCAGTCAGTTGGAGGA